GAAGGTATCGCAACCCTCGGCTCCACATGGCTGGAGATTGGCCTAGAGGTTTTTCAGGACACAACCATGAACTGGGAGCTGGTAGAGCTCCCGCCTTTCTCAGTGAAGGTTAGGCGATCCCAGCCAAGGTGCGGATATCCGCCCTGATTCGGAGAGTGCTTGGGAGGACGCCTTTAGTACGAGGTGTTGATTGTGAGGCTGTTTCAGCTTGGAGGGTTAGCCACACAATTCCAAACCATGGCGGCTCAAATCGTAGACTTCCTGTCTGACAGACGCTGGGAAAGACGTGCAGTGTGTGATTACCTAGTTGTGCAGTGCTTTCCACTAGATGTTCAATACTTTTGGTGGGCGTTCCTAAAAAGGGTTTCTGTATTATGCTACAACCTGCTGCTGTCATAGTGAGACTAAACACTCTGTGTTCAGGCAAGGAACCTTGCCGGATCTCGCAAAATGTGCTCATATCCTCAATGCCAGTTACGCAATTCCTGATGACATGTCCCGAAACGCACTTTTCTGGGCAAACTCACCTGGTAGGTCCTTAGTGATTCCTGATTTCAGGTCATTAGAGAAGTTCAGGCCATTCCCTTTTGGGGGAGGACCCCCTCGCCCCACAGAATCCTTGACGATACTCCTCGGCTGACTGAGATGGACCCCCCAAAAAGCATCCTGTTTCAAGCAAGCCTCCTTGTGGGGGAGAGGGCCTTTTGTGGGTCCCATGTTTGCAGGGCGCATCATTGCCCCAAGCTGATGCTCCGTTCTTTTCAAACAGCTCCCCAGTCCCCGAAGTCGCGGAATCCTCGAAGTTCGGTCATTCTCGATCGCGAATTCCCAACAGCTGAAAGCCACTGATTTGCTCGATGGGTGATTGGCGCTTTCCTTTTGGGGTTCAAAAGGAGGGTTCCAGGTTCGGGTGCTGTGCTGAGGATACCATCTGGGCGAATTATTTTTGTTTTCTTCCTTTTTTTCCCCCAAGCGCCAGGTGGTCATCGACTTCATCGAGACGGACTTCCAGCCGCTGAAGAACGCGCTGGTGGACCATTGCCGCGTGGCCAAAGAATGCTCATTGACCTTTTCTCAAGACTCAGTTCCCAGCCGTCTCCTTAGCTTTCTAGGTTTTTAGTTGGTTTAGTGGGGGTTTCCATTCAACCCACCAAAAGTTGTTTTTTTAGGCAGGGGATCTGAGGACAGCCCAGAAAAGGAAGCTTTGCAGATTTCCGAACCCAGGTGTGTGACCGTGGTGACATTCTCTACGACTCGTTGCTAAGAGGGGCTGGCCATTTTAGATTTGTCCAGACCTATTGCAAAAAGCGAAGGCCAGCAGTGGCAGAAGAAGCTCACGGACCTCCTCAACGAGAACGCGCGTACGGAGATGCGCCTTGGAACTTCATTCGACCGTTGCCGCCTCCAAACTCTGCTAGACCCATGTGTGTGTGTGTGTTTACTATATGGTTATACCATATTTTACCATGTTTGTTTTACACCAGTTGTTTGACCATATGTTGCCCACGAAGCCAAAATAAACTGGGTGTTTCATCTGCACCAGAGCCGGGTTGGAAGCTAGGGCATTGGCGAGGTGACAACGCTGTTTTTCCTTGCGCATGGGAGCATGGTTCACATGGAACCCCAAAAAGGGTCCCCTAAAAGGAGGCGCCTCTACACTTGTCCAACTTGTCCCAGTTCAGTGGATGCCACCGGTGTTGAATCACGCTTTTGCTGGCTTTCCCACGATGGACTCAATCCCAAAAAGGGTTCCGATTCCTTTTCTAGCAGGGCCACTGGGCAACTGACTCACCAGTAGCTGGCTTTTGAAACGACCCGTTAAACGGCACCCTCGAAAAAGAAGACAGCCGCGGGGTTTACATCATCAGCTTTGGCGCATTTTGCCAAGAAATGTTAGGGCTTTAACTTTTTGCCAACGAATTGGTTTTGCATTAAACCACTAAAAGTTAAAAACTTTTAGCAGGGGAGCAGAAAGCAACCAAGTCAGCCCTGGGATGCAGTTCCAACATCTGTTTCCTTCCAGGGAAAGAGCATCCATATCCCTTTTTTGCTGCGAGGGGTGACCAATGGCGATGCATTGCCATGAATACAGAATCTTAAGTAACACTGTTCCCTAAAAGGGACATCCCTTAAGGAACGAATGCGTTCCGTACAGGGGGTTGCGCAGTAAGTTTCCTTGTTTTTGAGCTGGACCGGCAAAATGATCGGCAGTTGACCCTGGAGGTCCCCTGGTTTGCCCCAAGGTTGCCGCTTCTTCGGCCCCTCCCATGGTTGGAACCGGCCTTTGGGAGCAGACTCCGCCCAAGTTGCCGCAAATTCGGCCCCTCCCATGTGTGTTTTGTTCCCATGTGTTTTTTTGTTTTCTCCGGCGTTAGGAACCGGCTCCTGGAGTACTTCGACAACAACACCAAGACCTTCCACTCCGAGATCAACGACATGGACGAGCTCAAAACCCGGATCGCGCTGCTGGACCAGTGCCGCGCAGACGACGCGGAGATGG